GTGGTCGTGTTATAAGTTTATATATATACAATTATATACATAAACTATCACATTAAAACTATAAATAACCAAATAATAGCAAAACATGAAACTATCGTACTCACCTCAGGCGCCTCTTCTTCCTTGTGGCCGGTTTTTCTCCCGGCACGTCCCCAGATCGAGAGAGCTTGGACGAGATGCAGAAGGAACGAATGGAAAACCGAGCGGCGGGAGGTCAACCGATGGGTTTCGATGGTCTCCAGGTTTGGACCCAGCTATATGCAGGAATGTTTGGGGCAAACAATGACCTAACATCAGGCACCTGGAGATCAATGTATACATGTTCTTTGGGGTAGTTCTTTTTGCTTCACTGTAATCGCAAGGTGTAGAATTGTCCAAGTCCAGCGGGATTGGCGCCTGCTTGGCCTGGGTTCTTTAGATGGAACTGTGACGGAGTTTTTGACGACAACTGTTCGCAGCCCGTATCTACTCATAGTGCTTGTGCTGACCAACGAAGCACGGAACAAGTGCAAGCTAGCTCGGGAAGTTCTTTCAAAGTCAAGCTCCCCATGAATGCCACGTGTGACATTGTGTGACCCTGTGACCTGTGTCGTGCACCGGGCCGCATTGGCGCTTGGCACGGCACAGGAGGAGATGCGAAAACAATTTTCAGAATCAGCCTCTCGGCCAAAGCCATTGATCGTTGGCCATCACTCACCAGGATCAGTCCGTCACAGGAATCATCCCATAGAATCGGCACCAGGCTATTTGGTCTTAGTGCATATGATGCAGTCTGGATGCTTCGTCAAGAGCCGGAAGTGAATCCTTGCTGACAGAGGTAGAAATGCCCTCCCTGACCATATCTTTGTTGAAGACTTGCTCCATGCGCACTCCGTTGGATGTGGACCGACGCTGCCCCTCTTCCCCGATCTTTGGCAGGTCAAGCAAGCGATTACCGCGCAGGCAGGAGCGATCGACTCATTCAAGTCCAACTCTCGACTCTGAGAGTTTCGCAGTCCTGCGATGCCAGGCCAACCCTGCCGCGTGGGGAGCCCCATTCAGAGTCGCGGGCAGAGGACAGCTAGAGTCAGAGCGCGGTCGAGGTGGCGAAGCGGGCAAAGCTTCTTGTCTTGTTTCTGTCCTTTGCATATTATAAGTTTAGTTTGTTGTTTGTTGACCTCTGATTCATAAACGGGGGTGGATGAATCAGGGCGGAACTTTGCAAACTTTATTTCGGATCCCTTTGATTCGTACGGTGTTTATGAATAGCTAACAGTACTCGTACGGATCCCTTTATTAATCATAGGTCAACAAATTACTTTGTTTTTCTTGGTAGTCAGGCTGCAGGTGTCGTGTATACCAATCAGTCCCTCATTGCGTCACAGCGGTCGTCACAGCGGTCGTCACAGCGGTTAGGCCGTGGCCTAGGTCCGCGTTCGGTGTTTTTGGCCAGCGCGGTTCAAGGGGAAACCCTTTTTTCAGACATCCAAACGTGGCAGAGAATGTAGAGACATGGCGCAGCCCAAAAGCATCCAAAACAACGCAGCCTGTTTGCACTTTCAGATTCAACACCTTGTTTCCCATGTCTGCCAAACAATGGTCTAGAGCCTTTGTCCCATGTGGACACCAAACAATTGACCTCATGTTTAGCTTGAAAAAAAACAACACAGAACATCCCATCTTCTTTCGGCGGTCAACCCGTGCGGACCGCGCGGACGGTCCGCGGACCGTGCGGACCGGACGATGCCCCGCTTCGACCCCTCCCGGTCGCGCTCCCGGCGGCGCTCCGACTCCCGGCGCGACTCCCGGCGCTCGCGCTCAAGGAGGCCGGTCCTGCAGTACAAGCAGGAAGTCCGATAGAAATAGCGCTGTCAGAGTGTGATCTCCATGATCAGGGCCTGAATTGCTGAGAGAATTCATCACAGTGTCACACCCTTTGAGACCAAATCAATCAGAGGGTGTGACAATGCAAACAATGAACTCTTCATCAAGTCATGAACACTTAGGTCTTTGAGCTGGAGATCACATGAATGATCACAGAAACTCATGAATTAATTATGAGTTATTTGTATTGATTTTTGTTTAGCTTTAAAGATCACATGCAATGAGTAGGTTGGTGAGTAGGTTGGAGGCCATCGCTAGTAGGTTTCTTTTGCTATTAGCTTGGAGCCATTGCTATTTAAATCCGTTTATATCTCCGAACGCAGTGATGTTGTGGAACGACTCAGGCGCTCTGCTTCTCCCAGGCGTTCACCACCCAAGGACAATGGCAGATCAGAGCGATCACCCGTTGCGTGGAGTCAAAGCAGGTTTCAACATGGAAGGACGAAGTAGGTCCCCTGAATGATTCTGAGAAACATTAGTATCTTCATGATTCATGAATGAGGAAGTAGGTATGCTAGAGGATTTTCAGGGTCCGTGACCGCAGCAATTTTCAGGAGCGGCTATATTCATGGTTAAAACATGCTAAAACAGCGTTTGGCCGAAAGGCAACCACCATGCGAATCGCTGCCACCTTCCTTGGACCGGTTCTCTCAAGGATTTCTGAATAAACCCCAATAACAGTCTTAAACTTAATCGGGTTGGTCCGGAACAAGGTCCCGGAAGCAATGGTTTGGAGACATGCAGTGCCTCTCCTTTGCTTGTGCCAAATTCTGCTCGGGTTGGGGCTGCACACTTCGACCATGGAGTGTCAACGAATTCAGGGCAGAGCAGAACCCCCAGCAGCTCAGGTTCCACAGCATGACGCTGATGGAGAAGTAGAAGAGGCAGGCTCTTCGATATACAGGGGTTCTCCACGAACGTCGAACGTGTCAATTTCAAAAAAAACATATGCTACTTGTACGGGTACGTGGATTCCTTTCCAAACATGGGGGCACATGGTGATATATATATATATACCCCCGACCGCCTCAATTTCCGTAATTCCCCATATTCAATGAACGACAGAACCCGAAGAACAGCATGGAACTCGGCAAGCTTTGGCGTGCTACAGTCCAATTAGAGCCCAAGCCGTTTGGCCAGAACAAGTGCATTGTGGTCGAGAGCAAAGCACGGCAAAGCACTGGGGAACGCACCTGGAGGGCGGCTCCTTTCCAGCGTTTGAGTGCAAATCCAGAGTTTATGGCACCAAGGCGCACGATTCTCGCTTCAGAGCACGAGCATTTGCCATATGTGAGCTGTATCCAAACGCGTACCGTGAAAACCAAGCAAGCTTCTGAAGCAGCAGTTTTCATGATTCTTGAGGCCTCTATTGACTCTATTGCGCCCTCACTTATATATCATAAGAGGCAATCCTTGCCAAAGTGGCCGAATTTCTAATGATCTACCGTACTTTAGACTTTAGAAACTTTAGATGACTTAGCCACCTTCGGATGCACAAGCAATACACTATCATGCTCCACGATATGTTGAGGTGATCGTGCATTTTGCACCCAACACGTTTTAGAGTAATGTTAATCTTATCAAATTGGAACGACTGCGCCGATAATGGGTTCAAACTACCTGGTAGCTATCCATATATATATATATATATTGTATATAATTTGAGTTTGGCAAGGATTTCCGTTGTCCATCAGTCCAGAATCACCCGCCGAGCCATTGCCCCCTAAATGAAGAACACAGCCTTGATTGCTTTTTTGTAGCTCCCATTTGGGACCCAGGTTTGCCCATACTTGGTCGTCCAAGGAAATTCAGGTGGCGAAACCCAATGCCAATCACTTTGGCGGAGCCTTTGGCATGATTGGCGTCAATGGTGCCAGAATGACACCGCTG